TTATTTACACTTTTAGTTTCTCACATCAGAGAAACTATTTGGTATTTACACATGTGTGTCCTATTTATTTCACTTAAGAGTATGGCCTCAATGTGGATCCATTTAGCTATAAATGTCTCTAGTTTCTTATTCCTTATGGTTGAGTAGTACTCCATTTTATTTTTAAAAAACCCCACATCTTCTTTATCCAGTGTCCCATTGATGGGCAATTGGGCTGTTTCCAAGCTTTAGCTATTACAAATTGTGCCGCTATGAACATGGGTGAGCATATATCACTGTGGTATGATTCTTTTAATTCTTTGGGGAAGATACCCAGCAGAGGAATAGCTGGGTCAAATGGGACCTCTAATCCTAGTTTTTTGAGGTATCTTCATATTGATTTCCACAGTGGTTGCATCAGTCTACACTCCCAACAACAATGCAGAAGGGTTCCTTTCTCCCCACACCCCTGCCAGCATTTGTTATTGGTTGATTTCTTGATAACAGCCATTCTTTCTGGGGTGAGGTGGAATCTCAGTGTTGTTTTCATCTGCATCTCTCCAATGCAGTGGTGGTTATTTTTGATTAGTCATTCCAGCTCCTCACAGTGAACATATTAACATTTTATAAAACAAAAGAAGCCAGTATAAAAGATGCTGGCATAAAACAACTGTTCTATAAATTACCCTTTAAGATAGAAACAGATTATTTGTCTTTTGGCAAAAGCATGTAGAGAGTTTCATGTAATCCACACAATAGTTGCAAAAAGTAATTTAGACCCTTGTAGACACAGATCTTTGGTTAGCTGATATGAATTTGGCTTTACCATTTCAGCTGCCATATGCCTGCTCTGTGCTAGAACCTGGGATTCAAAGATGTAGGTTTCCTGTCTTTTTTCTCCAACAAGTGCTTGTGACTTACTGGGGCAGAACACTATCTGAGAGTAGATGCACCCAAGCCAACTGTGATCGTTTTCCTGAAGAGGATGTGGAGCAGAGAGAAGTGATCTATTGCTAAGGGGCACTGTAGGACAGCTTCAGGGGTGAGAGCTCCACTTTGGTGTTGAAATGCAGGCTAGTGATCTAACAGCTTAAACAGATTAAAATAGCATCCACTTGTGATCTCACAGCCCCAAGGCCGGGGTGGATTCTCTGCTCAGGGTCTTACACTGCTGCCATAAAGGTGTCAGAGGTCTCTGGGGAGACTCTGCTTTCCAGCTCATTCAGATTGTCCCAGAATTTAGTTCCTTGCAGTCTCCTGAATCCCCAGGGCAGCAGCATTCTAACCAGGCACACAGAGTCCCATGTGGACTCGGGTCCCTCTCACCTCCCTTCTGCCTTCCTCTGCTGGTTTCATGTGCTTTTGTGATCCAGGGGACCAATCTAGATAATCCAGGATGACCTCCCTATTGTAAGGTCATGTGATGAGTAACCTGAATTACATTTGCGAAGTCTCATTTGCATGCAAAGTAACAGATTCCTAGTCCCAGGGATTAGGTGTGGAATCTTCTGGGGGCGTGATTCTGCTAGCCACAGTCCCTGAACTCCATCTTGCCTCCCATCAGTACTTAGTGTGGAGTTCTGAGGAACCGCCAGGAGGGAAGCCATGCTTCCCAGGTGACAGGGCCTTCACAGCCCCCGCAGATGGCTCCCTCGTGTGTGGGCAGTGTCAACGAATTTAGTTAGTACAGAACTCAGGATCACTTGCCCTTGCCAGCCAAAGGAAACTCAAGAGTTGACTTACAAGTATTTATCACTGTATTTTAAATTCATGACTAACAGTTTTAAAAAATTTGAAATAGGCTCATGAAAATCCAGATTTCTGCTTTCTCTTGAAAATTGAGCATCTCTGGCAAACCTGAGTTCCAAGTCAGGCTGGAACTGGGGGTGCCCCACCAGAAGACTGGGGTGTGGGCCCCCGCTTCCTGGAGGCTCCTGCCGCCCTCCCGGGTGGGACACAGGATCCACAGTCGGTCCTGGCGCCGACTCCCTTAGGACGGAAGGGAGCCAGCATTTAGAGACGCCGGCCCGCGGCAGCCCCTTTAACTCGCCTAACAATCCCAGGGCAAGGTACTTTAGTGTCCTGCTGACCTGGGCCCTTCTCGCTCTCGGGGCGCACAGCCGTGCCCTCGGGCCGCACAGCCGTGCCCTCGGGCCGCGGGGCTCCGCATAGCCTGCACCCGCCCAGCTCTGCCCCGCAGCCCGCGCGGCCCTCCCCAGGAAGGGGCCGGAGCCGGGGACCCGCCGTGCTGGCCGGCGCCCGCCGTGGTCACGTGAAGGCCGGGCGCAGAGGATCTGCGCCTCCGGGGAGGGCAGAGTCCGCCGGGGCGGCCACTACGGTCCCGCATCCCTGCCTGCGCCCCGCGCCACGATGCCCGGGATCCAGCTCGGTTCGGGGGTGCAACGCCTGCGCCCCGAGCCCCAAGAGGAGCTGCCCGCCCAGGAGGTAAGGGGGCAAAGCCCGAAGCGCCTCCCGCCTCGGGACCGCCCCTGGGAGCTCAAACCCGCAGAAAGCCAGCGCCGGCTGTAGGGACTGGGGGGTCCTGCGGGGGGCAAGAGGGTGAGCAGCTCTCTTAGGCCTGGGAGCCCCGTGTCCCAGATTTGACTGTTCAGCCGAGAGGCGCACAGACCCTGGAACGCAGCCCTGCGCGTTGGGGTCAATTGGGGAGCTGTCAGCCTGTGCCGCGGGGACCGAGCCGGGCTCGAAGCCCGCACTCCGAGTGCAGGAAGGGTCGAGCCCCACGAAGCAAGCGAGGCACGACCTCAGGCGGGTCCCCCGACCGTGCGACCCGCCCTGCGCTTCCTGGCTGCTCAGAAGCAGTTCTGTGAATGTGTCCTGAATCTCCGTGACTGACCGGTCTCCGTGATCAGCAGGTCATACCCGGTTCCCCAGAGGCTTTGCCATGCCCTAATCTCCTGCCCCAGTGTCACCCCTGCTTGGTCACCTACCAATGGGCCCCTGGAGCCTGCTGGAGGGGTCCATAGAGCAACATTTTCTGTGTGGATTTAAAGTCCCGTCTGGTATACTGGGCTTCCTCTCTGGGCTGCTGATCTCCCACAGAAATTTGGCCACTTCCAACAGGTGGGTTGTGCCATAACCCCTGACCTTTAAGGAAGCAGGCCAGGAAGGAGGAGGAGGTCCCAAGCCAGGCCTTACTCTCCCTGATAGAGTCTTCAGTGGGAAGAAAATAATTTTAATCTGAGAATATTGACCTCCTTCTATGCACTTTATACCTTTTTGTCTAAATAAGAGAGGAATGCAATACTACTACTGATGATGATAATAATAATAGTAATAGTAATAATTATAATTTGAGACCTCAAGAAATGGAAGGAGGACAGAAAACAGTCCAGAGCTTTGGCTGATTTCTTTTGCTTGGTGGCATCTCCAGGACTCAGATCTTTTACAGCTCAGTGTCTTTCACAGGCCTTCCTCACGCGAGCAGATGTAAAGATGAGTCTGGTACCAACAGATAATCCTCAGCAGAACACCTGTTTGCTGAGAAGACAGCAATGATTGAGTAATTAAGAGACAATGTCTAGCTAGATCTCAGAAGGCCACTAGCCAGCTGACTGGGTTAACTTTATTCAAAAGTTAGCTTTGGGTCAAGCAACAAGAAACTGCCTAGTCACTTGAAATGCACTAATGCCCTCTTTCTTTAAGGAATTTTTAAGAACTCTTTTCTACATGGAGTTTCTTTTGGCAGCTACTAGGGGGCAATCTACTTTTGTGAATCTACCTGCTTATACTTTTGAAATAGAAATAGCCAATGCTACTGATTCTCAGTGTGGGTTAGAACTAGTGGGGAAGCTTTTAGGAATGTTCCTGGTTCAGTCCCTGTCTCTGAGATTCTGATTTTATTGTCTGGGTGTGGCTTGGGCCACAGTTACTTTAAGACTATTGGAGGATTCAAAAGTGCCACAAGCACTGAGATCCTAGGTCCTGGGCTGTTTCTTTTTGACACTCTATGTGGTCACTCCTTAATACTCTATGTGCTTCTGTTTGAATGTTCTTTTTCTTAAACTTATTTACGGAGGTCTTCAATGACTACCTCTTAGAGCTCTTGGTCCCCTGGTGTTGCCTTACAGTGATTTTCAAAAAAGTTTCTGGCAGGGAAAAGGGGCAGTAACCAGAATGGCTGCAGCAGGCTGGCCAGGGCTCTTGCTCATTGTGGGGTGAAGGGATCCCCAAGAACATCAGGAGAGCTGATGGTCCAGCCTGAAATTTTCACGGGGGCCAAGGAGCACCATAAAACCAGTTGCCTAGGTGAATGATTTGGTGACAGAGGAGAGCAGGGTTCATGATGACCTAGAGGGCACATCCTCCACCCAAAGAAGACTACAGCTACCCATCTCCAGCTGTTTAGGTGTCACGTGTGCAATCCTAGATTTCAAAAGTGGCTACCAAGTCCTCCCATCATCTCCAAACACAGGCTTCTTTTGCAAAATGACTGCAATTCATTTCAGTAAGAGGTGGGGTCTATTTCTGCAGCCCTTGCATCTGAGTTTGGTCATGAGACTTGCTTTGGCCAGTGGGACATTGGCAGATGTGCTGCAATTATCAGTGTGACAAGCACTTGAGTGTCATTGCTTGATCTCCTGTTGCTCTTGGGGACTCTGTGACCCTTGACTCTGAGTGCATATGGCCAAGACACATGAGCAAGGCTCTACCAGAACATTCAGCCCCTAATACCATAGGGATCAGCTAAGGTGGCCTGGGGCCAGCATTGTTCGATTGTTACACAGAATATAGGAAAATATAAAATGTTTATCCAGGTGACTAAGTATCAGGGTGAGTAGCAAAAACTTACTGTAGTATAGTCTCACATTGCCAGATGTTATAACTTTTAAAATAGAAACCATAAGTTCAAATTTTTTTGTAAGCTTCAGTTTTGAAAAACTTTGAATTGGTAGCCAATATCCTAAAAGCACTCTGTGGGCCAAACCAAACACGTCTTTAGGCTGCACTTGGCCTGCTGGTTGTTGGTTTCAGCTTTCTACACAGAAGGATATGAGGTATTTATACTAATGCCTCATTGTCCTCACTCCTAGAGCCATCCTTCTTGCCAGACTGCTGTGCCTCTCTTACCCTTGGCCAGTGTCTTTCTATATGGCATGCCCACACTAGATGGCACAGTGCAAGCTACTCCAGTCAGTCTTTCCACATGGAAATGCAAGCTACGGGGATTGCCAGTCTTCTTGGGGAAAGTGCAGCTTGAGGTGGGCTTCCAGTGAAGGAAGGTGGACAGGACATGCCTGGTTTTGGGTGAGCATCAGATCAGACGTGGAGGGTAAGCCATGGGGAACAATGAGCATGGAATCCAAAGTTTTGATTTTGGTTTTTGGTTTTTGTGGGTTTTGTTTTGTTTTGGTTTGAGTTTTTTGAGAAAGGGTCTTGCTATTAGTTTAAGGCTGGCCTTGAACTCACTATGTAGCCCAGGCTGGCCTTGAACTCGCAGGAGTCCTCCTGCCTACGTCTCCCGAGTGCTGGGATTTCGGCTTTGTGCTGCTATGGGTGGCATTGAAATCCACCACTTTGGGCCAGAGAAGAGTGTCCCTGGAGGGAAAGTGAGGGAGAAAAAGTTGGAGAGGAGTAGAGGGGAGATTGTAGAGCCCCTAAACACTACGCCAGAGGGTTTTCTCTTGATTATCTGGACAAAGGGGAATCACTAGGCAAGAGAAGACACATGAAGCTTTGGAATGGGGGCCCCATGCAGAAAGCAGGGTTTACACTATTCTACCAGTGTGCAGAATGAACCCTTAGGAGGCTGAGAGAGATGGGCAGAAGGAGTAGTGATGGGCAAAGCACAGTGATTAGAAAGAAAAACCAGGTTGGGGAACAATTTAACTTAAATTGTGGGAACAAAATTCTCTTGGGCTTATGGCTCATTATGCTAATTTTCTCATCTTGAGGTACAAGAGACATATCAGCTGTGTTTTCAAAGCACTCTATCCACAACGTCACTTCTTCCTGTGATTCTCGTTGACTGACTCTCATTGACTGATATGTGGGGTTTATAATGATTTGTTCCTATGATGGGGAAGACTGAACTGAGAGCTTCTGAGGTCAACTTTCTGTCCATTCTGAGCTCTCCTCTCTCTAATTCTAAGGAATTCACCTTACAACATTGGGGGAAGATATATATAGAGAAAAGACAAAAACCTTAAATATATTTTAAAATCTTGGTGGTGGGGGGAAAGAAAGTGTCACAGCTATGAGTAGTGAAAGAAAATCAACGAAAGTCCATTGCTGTCATGCAAAGAGAATAGAAAACATAATGAGAAACACTAGGAAAGTGGTCATATTTAGACCCATGGTTTTCAATCTTGACTTCACATTTGAGTCACCTTGGAACTTTAAAAATTTGAATCTAGGCTCCACTTCCCACAGTTTATACGGTTGTTCTGGGAGTCAACTCTTATTAATGCTAGGCACTTTCTGCTTACAACATATTTCTAATCATCTCCAGGGGAATGCCCCTATTCTTCAATGTTAAGGATGTTCATTGGAAAAACAATTGATATTAATAGTCTTTTTATTAAAATGTTTTTAAATATGTAAAAGAAAAATGTGTGCCAAATGTTGAACACATACATAGTATTCCTTATGTTTTAGTAACTTGCCTTTAAGAATTGTCACACCAGAGTTTGGGTAACTCAGTGGTAGAGTGCTTGCCTAGCAGATGCCAGGCACCAGGTTTGATCCCCAGTACTGAAAAAAAATCATACCAGCCATGAGAATATGTGTGACTCAGAAAGTGGTATCTTCTTACAGCAATTAATTTACCTCCATGTATTGTTCCACATCGGTTTTTAATGCAAACATTTTTTAGTCTTTTTGGACAATTTTAGTAGTTTTATTGAACTAAATTGATACATTTGTATGATTTGTTTCAAGTGTACACTTTGATGCATTCTGATGCATGCAGACATTTGTGAGATAAACAACACAGTAAGGACAGTGAATATTGTCACACCTAAATGTTTCCTTATGTGTTACCCATCCATCTCTCCATGTTCTCCTTCCTGTCCTCACATAACCTTTGATCTGGTTTCTGTCATTGTAGATTGGTTTACATATTCTAGAGTTTATATGGAAAACTTGTTCAGTGGCTAGTCTTTTGGTGGGAGGAGATTGGCTTCTTTCTCTCAGCTCAGTTATTTTGAAATTCTTCTTTATTTCCCAGTAGTATGTCACTGCTTCGCTTGTCCATTCACCTGTTTGTGGATGTCTTGGTGATTGCTAGCTTTTGACTGTTAAATGTGATGGACAAGCCAGGCATGGTTTCACATACCTGTAATCCCAGCACTCTGGGGTGATAGGGCAGGAGAATCATGTTCTAGCCTAGCCTGGGCAACTTAGTGACTTATCAAGACTCTGTCTCAAAATTAAAAAAAA